AAGTGAAAAATCGTATCTCGTTTTTACTTCTGTTTTTCTAAATGACCATACAAGCTAAGCACCTTTCAACAGAAGTAGTTCCTTTCTTTTTCTGTGGACTGGTTTGTACTGCCACATGACTATTTTCTCTTGTGACTGGTCTTTTACTTGATATATTAAGAAAATTTGCCTTTTCTCTTACTATCCCCATTTTTTTTACTTAACTAATGGACTTTTCCCTCGGTGTGGAAACTTAATTTTTACATATTCAAATTTATCATTCTTTTATGGCTTCTGGGTCTTGTCTTGTTTAAAAAGCTTTTTTTCCACTCTAAGATTAGAAAAAAAATCTTCCATATTTTCTTCTAGTTCTTTTGTAGTTTTATGTACAAGTTTTTGGCTTATCTGACATTTATTTTGTGAAGAGGTAGAGACATGAACTTTTTGTTCCAAATGGTTAGCCAGCTGTCCCCAAACTATATATCGAATGATCAGTATCTGCCCTGTTGATTTCAACAGCTCCTTTACCCTATATTAATGCCTACAGACATACGGATCTATTTTTGAGCTCTGTTCTGTCTCACTGATTTATCTGTTTACACATAAGCCAGAATCAAATTGCCTTAATTATAATTCTAATATCTGGTAGTATCAGAACTCCCCTTGAACTGCTCTTCTTTTGCAAGTTTCCAAAATATTCTCATTAGCTTCAACATCAACCTTAGAACCAGTTCATCTAGTGTTAAAAAAAGCAATCTACTGGCACGTTACTTAATTTTTAAATCAATTTGGAGAGAAATGACACATTTGTAAGTCTATTATAAACTATTCCTCAGAAGAGTTTCAAAGTTTTCTTCTCATATGCCCTATGGATTTGTTTCTGTTGCTGTATGTTACGGATTCAACTGTGTTCCCCAAAAACATGTGCTGTAACTCCTAACCCCCTAGACCTGTGCTTGTAATCCCATTTGGGGCCGAGTTTTCTTTGTTATGTTAAGAGGCCATAGCAGTGTAGGGTGTGTTTTAAGCCAATCACCTCTGAGATATAAAAAAAGCAGATTAGGTATAGAGAAGCAAGCAGAGATGGAGGAAGACAGATGCCGAGCCACATAAACATCACCCAGGAACACAAGAGACGAGGACCTTCCTCCAGAGCCGACAAAGAAAGCAAGCCTACCCCTAGAGCTGGCACCCTGAATTCGGACTTCTAGCCTCCTAAACCGTAAGAAAGCTAATTTCTGTTTGTTAAAGCCATACACGTGTGGTATTTCTATTATACCAGCATCAGATAACTAAGACACTGTAGTATATGGAAACTTTTTTTCCATTGTTAAATGGTTGTTTTATACCATGACTTTATCTATGTGAGCAGAGGTGAATCTGTTTCCTCCTTTCAAATCTGTATACGGTATTTTTACACAAAAAACGTGCGTCCTCTACGTTTGTTTGCCAACCGCACCCTCCCAAAACAAGGTATTTTCGTACGCACACGATGCTAAAAAAAAAAAAAAAATTAGCATCGTGCGCTTACAAAAATACCTCACTGGGATGGGGGGGAGTGGTTGGAAAATAAACATAGGAGGTGCGTGCTACCTTGTGTAAAAATACAGTACTTCTTTATTTCTTTGGATCAGATGCATTGACTGGGTTTTTCAGAATGTTAAATGATAATGGAAAGGGAAGCCATCCTTGTTTTGTTTCTGATTTCAATGGGAACACAGTTTTTTGTAAGAAAGCTTAACTTACTTTTACATGTTCAGTTTAAAATGAAAAAATTAGGGAGATATCAGAATTTTAAAACTGTATTATTTTCCAGTTAATTTAGCTCACCAAAACGGCTGAAGCTGTAACATGTCTCAGATATTATTCATAGCTCTGAAAATAGTGCTAACCTCAGTAGAGCAAACTGCTGTCCTGATTAGTTCAATAAATCCCAAGACAGCTACTAGAATGGAATTACCTAACTCAGCAAGTTCCCCACTAAAATGCTGGCATACCTCAATTAACTAATTGGATTCTGTCAAAATAAGGTATATTTAGGGATGATCTGAAGTTCCTTAATTCAGAGGAATTTTATCTTAAAAGTCATTAAAGTATGTGAGTTGAATCACTCGATCAAGAACTTTAGTTTATAAGGTATTTATGGTGTTTTTATCCAAGGAAGCCTGCTGGAATACTCACGTAACTGAACGACAGCACTTTCTCCGTTTGTTGCAATGTGGTGCAGCGTTTGCTCCCCGTAGTAGGAAGCTCCTGTCTTGTCAACATCTGTACTAGCTATTACCAACACAGCAGTAGCTATAACAGTAAAAATTTTAATTAGATTTACAACACAAGTTAACCTGATGGTGATAAAAAAAATTTTAAAAACCTAACAGAGCACATACAAATTTCCATCAGACAAGCATTGATGCTCTTTTATTCTATACACACAGGAATAGGTGTCTACATTAACACTTGATCAACAAAATGAGGAAGAAAATACATTTCTCATACCTTTTTTATTCCACAGCATTGTAACCTTATCAGCCTTAAAGAAACTTTTGTTGGCTAAAGCTGCATGGGGTCCACCAAAGTTGGGGTACTGATACAACCTAACAAATGAAGGTGCACCCTTACTTCCTGGAACATAGACAGCCACCTACGACACACAGACAGAAATCATGACTTAATTTTCTAAAGCACAGAATCTTAACAGGCATGTTTTTACACACATTAAAAAAAGAAAAAGTTTAATCACATAACATTCAACATAAGCAAACAAAAACGTAGCAATTACCTTGTATGGTTGGGGTCCAGGTGATAACACAAAATCATGAATTTTTTGCAAATGTAGTTTATTTGCAATTGTATCTAAAAAAAATTAGACCGTGTTAGGTTGATGAGAGAAGACAGCTAACAGGGTCCATCATAAAAGGTTAACACAGCTACACACTAATACTGCTCACTGCAGTCTTGTGTAGGTGAGGCAGGGCAACACAGTGGAAAAAGCACGCAATGCTAGGAAGACAGACCTAGACTTCTAAAAAGAATAACTGCAATCGATTTAAATGCATCATGTACGTTTAAATCCATGGGCACATAAGGATATAGGGGTGACTGGGGTAATTGGGAGCAATAGAGGTTGCTAGAGAAAGAACTCGTTATATTAAAATTCATAAATAAAAGGAAAGAATATTTGTCCTGCCTTTCCTATACAAATGGTACTACTAGGTAACCAAATAGTAGATAGGGGAAATTTCTCTTTATAGAACACCACTTACGATATAGTGTTGCCTTCACACCGAGAAAAGGATGGACCTGAAGCTGATCAACTCTAGATCCAACTACCAATTTACAGGGGACAGACCAACACGCTGAATTACAGTATGGGATACAATACTGAAGTTTACACAGGAAAATATCAAAGACAACCAACCCTGCTTCTTAAATAATAAACTGCAAGTGGGCGGGGGAGATGAAGAGGTAATCTACAGATCAAAGGAAACTTAAACGATAAATCAATAAACGGCAATGTGCAGGACCTCATTTAGATCCTGAGTTTTAAAAACAATATGACATTTACAATCATTAGACATGTGAATACTGACCAAAAATGTAGTAGGAGCACAGATCATATACTTAATCTAAACACTTACCAGAGAGCTAATGATCTATGATAATGGTACTGTAGCTAAGTTGAAAAACTGAAGAGCCCTAATCTTCACGGATACACACTGAAGTATTT